CTTTCCTCCCCAAGTTTCTTTTTGACATGGTATTTCATCACAGCAATAGAAACCCTAACTAGGACACTTTACAAAAACAAAATCTTCAATCTGCCATTTGCAATTAATATGTACGTATTAATATATATGAATTATATTGCTATTAATATGTAGGTATTAATATATGTGAAAAATACAACTTATGTGACCTTTTCAAAAGAAAGGGTCCCTCCTTGCTCTCTAATTAGAAGGCGTGCACAGGACAAGCTGTATCTCTCAGTAGCTGTGTTCACAAGGCCAGTGTGGTTAGAATTGAGATGTCCACATGGCAGCCTCCCCCTGGTGAAGCCTGGCTTACCAGCCATCCCTGCCAGGCTTCTGGGAACACAAATGCAGGAAAGACATTCGGTTGAGCAGGAAGGGAGGCTTCCACCCAAACGTCAGCGAAGCACCAATCAGTAAGACATTAGAACATTTTATCCCAGTTAACCTAATTGTCTACATAATGCCAGTCTCTACAAAAACATGTCTGTCAAAACACAAACAGGCACGAAAGGCAAAACAAAGCAGATAAACTGTGACATCTTCTGGTAATTCTATTACTTCATTCAGCATCTTACTGCAAATAAGGAGTTCAGAGGCCCTGTAAAAGCTTCTATTGTGAATGTTACTTTACAGAAGAAATGGGTTTAATCTTATGAAATAGATATGCAGTTTAATGGAAGGTCTGAAATTAAATAAAGCCGGGACACTTCCTTCTCTTGCACGTATAACAAAGTTGCATTATGACTGATGACGGGTAAGATGCAAGCCAACAGGACGCCCTGCTTTTCTTTTCTTTTTTTTCCCAATATTTCATTTTTATTGATTCTCTCAGAGTTTCACATTATACACCCGACCACATTCACTTTCTAATCCTTCCACGTCTATCCTCTACCCTGTGACCTTCCTATTCAAAATTAAATAAATAAATATAAGAATTAAAAAACAAAATAAAACAAGTTCATTTTGTGTTATCTATATACTCACTAGAGCACGCTCAAACACAGTGGCCTCCCCTTAAATGGAACTGAGTTCTCCCCCTCCCGCACCAGAAGCCACCAACTGTGAAGAGCTACACTTCAGCATCCTCCTTAAGAGGATCAGCATCCTTCTTAAGAGTTCTCTTCAGTGGCTTCCTGTCTAGGCTGTTGCTATTTGAAGGGAACTGGGCACAGAGAGTAAAGTTGTCACAGAGGCCTTCCATGTCCCTCCCTTTCTGCAGTCATCGATGTCACAACAAAAGCAGCCTCCTTGCTCTTCACAGCCAGTGGGAGCACGGATCATGGGCCTCAACATGGATTCTGGTGGAAGCACAGACCATGAACATTCCCCCCTGCTGCAGTAGGACCACAGACCCAGATGTGGCTCTCAGTGGCAGCCTAGGCCTGCTATCACCATGACGGACCCTGCTTTTCTACACGTAGCTGCACTTTACTCATTGTCTATGCCTGATAGCCACCAAAGCAAGCAGAGAATAAAATGATGGTCACCAGAGGCGTGGAAGGGTGATAAAGGGGAATGCTGATCAGCAGGTGTTGAGCTATAGCTAGGCTGGAGCAAAGGGTTGCAGCAGCAACTGTTCATCTCAAAAGCTACAAGAAGGCGTTTTAAAAGTTTTAAACATAGGGCCCTCTCTAGTAGTCTCCCATCTTGTTTCCTCTCTTCCACCACTTCTGGTGTCTATCCTGTTTGCTGTTCTGAATGAGATTTAAGTATCCTTTAGGGTCCTCCTTAGTGTTTAGCTTCTTTAGGGCTATGGGTGGCTAGCCTATATTATACAGCTAATATCCATTTATAAGTGAGTGTATACCATGCCTGTCTTTCTGTTTCTGAGTTACCTCACTCAGGATGATATTCCACATTTCATGACTTCCTTGTTTTCAATAGCTGAGTAGCATTCCATTGTGTAGATGTACCACAATTTCTGTATTCATTCCTCAAATGAGGGACATCTAAGTTGTTTCCAGATTCTGGCTATTACAAATAAAGCTGCTTTGAGGTCCTCTGAAAGGATCCACCCAAGAGGGGATTGAAGTAGATGCTGAGACTCACGGCCAAACTTTGGGCAGTCATATAACATGTTGAGGTCAGGAGCCCAACAAGGAGACCAACAAAGCTAAAGAATCTGAGCCCAGGGGGTCCTGCAGAGACTGATGCACCAGCAGAGGCCCATGCATGGAGAGGGCCTAGAACCCTTGCTCAGATGTGACCAATTGGCAGCTCAGTCTCTATGTGGATCTCTGAGTGAGGAGAGCAGGGGCTGCCTCTATCATGAACTTGGTTGACTGCTCTTTGATCACTTGCTTCTGGTGATGTGGCCTTACCAGGCCACGGAGGAAGAAGATCCAGGCAGTACTGATGAAACCTAACAAGCTATGAGCAGATGGCAGAGGAGGAGGATTCCTCCTTTCAGTAGACTAGAGGAAGGAGTCAGGGGGAGGGGAGAAAAGGAAGGGGGACTGTGAGGAGTGAGGAAGGGGGCTTCAACTGGGATACATAATGAATGAATTGTGAAAAAAATAAATATAAAAAATGTTTTAAACATAAAGAAATGGTGAATATTTGAGATAAGTATATTTAACCAGATTTCAACATTACACAATGAACACACATATCAAAACACTGCACAGTACTCAGTAATAGTTTTTTTAATAGTAAAAATATTTTATGTTTCTCTCAGTTAAAATAAGTAAATTTAAAATACAACTACGGGGAAGGAAACTGGATTCTGCTTATGATTGATATCCCCGCCAGAAATACAATACACATTCTCACACGCCCAACCCTGAGCCTATTCCTCATGTCATCACTACACTAACAAATGTCAAGAGACCGGAAGGGGACTAGAAGAGGAGAAAACAAGTCGGGGGTGGGGTGGAAAGAAAGCCAAAGAAGAAAGAGAGAAACAGAAGACATGTGACGTAGAAACAGAGGTCACTGTGGATGGAGGAGACCAACAGTGAGGGCAGAGAGCTCGGGGAAGCTAGTGGGATAAGGGGGTAAACGAGAAAAAAGTACCGCCAAAATGCCATAATGAAACCCATTACTGTTCGTACCAGTTTTTAAACTAATACTAGATAAATAAATATGATTTATCTGGAAAACGACCAAATTAAATATAAAGTAATTTTTATAGGTCCCGTAGGAAGGAAGTCTCAATGTTCCAGAGGTCAGGGCTTAACCAGATTTGAAAGCACTTTTGCTTAACCACCATGACAGTAGGAACTATTTTCCCATCTGGTACAATACCTCACTATTAAAAAGAAAGGAACCACCTCCCATTTTCTATTATCTAAAAACGGATCTCTAGACAGCCTTGAAAAATGGCAACAGGACATTTGGCAACCACAGTTCTCTGAGCTTGCTTTATTATGTATTTCTTTCATAAATACACACCCATCGTGGGAAATCATACACACTACACACACACAAATGGAAATCATATATACATACTATTATAAATCCACAGACATTAGAAATTTTGACCTAGGAAATGAAAGGCAACAAATATGCAATACAAGTAGCTCCTTGGAGGCCCATAGCTAAAGCACACTCGAGGCTGGCTGATACTTATGTCTTTCTCGTACCCAAGTCTTAAAAAATCAGACACACTCATCAGTACCCTGAGAAGGGTTAAAATAATTGTGATTGAACAGAAAAAGTAATCGCCTCTCTAGCTGCAGGTAATGGCCTCAGTATCCTATCTATAAAAATCATATCCTTTGCTTAAAGTGGTACAGTCAATCTTAGCCACAATCAAATTTAAGCCAAGCTGTAAGTCACACCCAGAATGTATCAGAAATCAAACTCCCCAAAGCAGCAGCCACAAAGCTGGAGAAGAAAACAGCACATTGACAATACAGGTTGTGTGCAAGAAACCGTCTCTGGAATTTCAATACAATTACATCTTTCCTAATCACCTTAAGAAGCAGCCACTGATGCGCTCATGAGCTGGCTCATTGGGTAAAAGTGTTTGCTGTCGAAACCTGACGACCTGAATTTAATCCGTGGGGTCCGCATGCACACAGTGGAAGGAAAGAACTGACTCATGAAACTTGTCCTCTGACCTCCGTGTGTGTGCTGTGTCACAAAGCAGCACCCCTTCCCTTCACACAGCCAAAATAAGTATACATGTGCAACCTTTTAGGAGGGAACATCTATTAACAGTTTGCCTTCATAGCCAAGTGGGCTTAGATATGACTTCCACAGCTCTACACGCATGCTAATGTGTCCTCCACCCTTAGTAAGTGTAAAAGTCAGGACACACGTAATGCAAGGAAATGACACGCCTGGGGAAAGGAATGCAATTGCTGTGGTTTGACCAACACGCATTATTTACATGCATATAATCACAGCATATGCCACAGGTTCACACAAAAGTGCGAAACACTTTTGAGACAGGGTCTCTGCCCCTCACCCTAGCTGACCTAGAATTTACTATGTAGAGCCCAGTGCTGGGGTTACAAACGGCCCCTTGTATATGTGGGTGCATTTTCTACTGAGCATCTCACCCTCCACCCCGGCCCTGACGCTTTCATTGTTTCAGATGTCAGCCCATCTGTTACCTTTCTTCCAAGCTGCATATCTTCCAAGTATTCCACAGAGCTGCACTTTGTCCTTGTTTCCTATTTGGATAATGGCAACAATGTGCTCTTCTCGTGACAAGAAACTAGTCAAGGGAATTAGAGCCACAATCTAAAGCCACAGCTCAAGAGTCAGCCATAAACATCTCCCTCCTCCCCAGAGCAAAGCACTTTAATGCCACCTCCTCAGACCCGCTGGGCACAGAAGCATCAGCAAGCTCAGAGATGAACGACTGAAGACTTTGGAGAACCCAGCACACACACAGGGCTAAAGGCTCAGCTAAAAGATGGGAAGAAAAATCTACCCAGAGAAACAGACAGTAAATTCTGAGGCACCTTCTAAACTTGAAAGAGAGAGCACACATCACACATCTGAGGATTCTGACACAGACCTACCTTCAAGTGAGGAATTTCCCAGGACTGTCCAGCCCAAAGGCAGCTCCAGTTGGGTCAGAGCCAGCACGAGCTCCTCATCCAAGGCGGGCAGCGCTTCCGCTGTCAGGGCAAACGGGGTCAGCAGCGTCTGGTAACTACAGGCCGTGAGTCGGTCAGCTTGAGTGACCAGCAGACGAGCCAGCCTGCAGGCCATGTTGTCTACATAGGTCACTGAGGCAGAGCCCATAGTCACGGGGGAGTACCCTTCTGAGCAGAGGCACACGGACACTGTCACTGTCTCTTGAAGCCAGTGGCCTAGATGACAAGAGAAGGAGCCGTTCAGCCTGTGTCTGAAGGAATCACGCAGCAGCCCTGCCTGGCTGGATAGCACTCTATAGGGAACAAGCAGAGAGTGTCACCTCTAACTGCCACTGTCCCTGGAGGCCAACCGTGAGCTAATCTTCCCTCAGTGACTCTGAAGTTTTAAGTGGTCCTTTAGAAGCTCTGAGGACCTCAGAGTCTGTTTCCTCCGACCACTGTCATTTGACCTAAGTCACTTCTGCCCAACCCCTGGACCCCAGTCTGCCATCCGAGTGATCGTCACTCTTTCTGTTCTGCGTTTGACTATTGCACATCGTTAGCCCTTTATTGAGGCAACAGGTTTTTTAATGTGTATCAGAAGCTGACAGGAGTACACCCAAACTCCATGGGGCTGCTTTGAATGTGGGGTGGAGACCACTAACCAGAGGCTACGTAGACAAACACAGTCAATAGAAAGCAGGAGTTCCCGGGGGTCCCCTCCAGCAATGGCTCCTGTGACTAGCAGATGTCTCTGTGTAGCGGGTCACCCTGCTCCCCACCATTTTTAGGCTCCTCTTGGCCCTGCCTTCCCATTTTGCTAAGGTTGGTGAACTTCTGACCAGCTACATGCTTGTGTCTTTGGTAGAACTTCCAAAGACAATAGAACTTCCAAAGACAATAGTTTGGGTGTCAATAGTACCCAAACCCCTGAGACTGAGGTTGATGGCCAGATGGAGAAGAGGCAGTCAGGTCCGCCTGGGCATGACGTCACTGTTCCCACTGGCCTGTGTCCTCTTGCCCTGCCTAACTCTCCAAGCTTTCCCCCAAAGGCTACACTGCCAGAGTTCCAAAGAGAACAGTCGCTATCCTTACAATGACTCTCTAACGCAGGGCTCAAAAGAAGCCACTCCATTAGACTGCGCCTGTCTAGTATAAATTGCAAAACATATTTTCCATCATCAATAGGCTACCCTGATAAAGCTAGCCATTTTCCAACACTCAGTCTACCTCAGTAAAGCTATGATCAGGGAGATTTAAGGTTAAGAAATATGCTGTCACTCACCCCCATGAAACCTGTCAAAATGAAGACAAGGACCCTGGCTTTGAGCATGAGAAAGTTTTGCTTTTGTACATAGGAGGGCAACGAGGTTGGTCCTTCCACATAGACAAGAAACAAGCAAAACAAAAAGGTTTCTTTCAGAAGGGGCACTTTAATTATTTTATTCTTTCTCTAAAGTTTCTCATTAAATTAGAAAAAAAAAATTTAAATAGAAGCAGAAAGAATGTCAGTTTATTTGCCAGAGTAAAAGGGTAGAGGGGAAGGGACCGATGACAGCACAACAGGGGCAATGAACAAAATACAGCAGTGGGGTTTTTGTTTGTTTGTTTTCTTGTTTGGTTGGTTTTTGGTTTTTCTAGATAGTTTCTCTGTGTGGTCCTGGTTGTCCTAAAACTTGCTCTGTAGACCAGGCTGGCTTCAAACTCAGAGATCTGCCTGCCTCTCCCTACTGAGGTGCTGGGATTAAAGGTGTGCGCCACACTGCCTAGCATTTGCTTCGTTTTTTTTTTTTTTTTTGTTTTGTTTTGTTTTGTTTTGTTTTGTTTTCTTATATATGAGTTCCTGGGGCTCCCAGGCTCGGCACAGAGGAATGAGGAAGGAGCATGAAGACACGGTCTGTCATGTCAGCTTGTCCTTAGCCACTCACACATCAGGCTAGGATGAGACCCAAGGCACACCCTCCATTGGCTACAGCTCAGGACACTAGCCTTTGGGGGGGGGGACACGGGGGATTAAGGGGGGACAGCCAGTGCGATGAGCTTGGCAGGACTAAGTCGTGGCAGACCGCAGTGGCCAGGCCCGGGAGTCTGTGGCGTGGCACACATCCTTCCAAACAACATGTGAACTCCTGACCTCGGAGAACGTGTCTTCTTTTCCCCTGTGATTCCCCTCCTGGAAGGGAAGATGTCTCCCGGCCCACCACCAAGAGGCCTGCTCACCTGGGATGCTGGACTGGAGAACGTTGTCCTCGACGCGCTCAGCAATCACCACGTGCCTCTGATGCGACCCGTCATAAATAAAGTAAAACTCAGCGTCTTCAGGAAGGTAAACATTTTTGCCAAACTTTGCACAGACCGTCTTCTGTCCCTGAAAAACGAGTAAGTCTGGGCATCAGTATACTTCCTTGTTCTGGCTCTGAGAAACCACAGGGGAAGGGCACCGGCCTGCAGCACTGACGCCTGTCTTAGGCACTGCATGTGAGCGAGCTCAAATGTCACAAAGCCTCCTTCCAACAACAACCTTTCCAAGTGATGCCCTCCCGGTGTATCGAGCATGAAAGTCATTCCAGGGCTGGCCTGCGCTGCTCTGAAAGTCAAAGAAGAACAAGGGACAGGAAAGAGTCATTCCTTTAAGTTGCTAGATACGTGGGTGTGATTTTTCAGTACACTGAATTCCTATTCCCAAAACATCATTGTGTATAGTGATGTTATCTTGTGTGTGAAATACCACTATAGATATAAAAGGTCCATGATACTTCTTAGGCCCTAGCATGTACTAGACTGCTGTATCCTGCAAGAACCATAAACACACACAGATATTTTCAAATAAACAAGAATGTGCACTCACTGCCTTGACTCTGTCTCCTCTGAGTGACATCTAAGCCCTCTTTCTCAGCTGGTTGACCTCATCCTTTGTCTTGAAGTGTTTCTGGCTAGCACAAAGCCTTACAGTGTTCCAAGAGGAAGTGCTCCTTCAAAGGAATGGGACAGCAGGCTAACATGAGGATTTGTTGGGGGCTAGCTGACAGCCAAGCCTGCCAGATCACCTCAGGATCCTGCAGGCCTCAAAGATTCAGGATACTCCCTCCCTGCAGTACAAAAAGGCAGCCCAGAGCAAGCCTCCAGGGAGAGAGGATGCATTCCACCCAGCCTAATGGGTGGGGAGTGGCAGGGAGGTGGAAAGAAAGCAAAGAGCAGACGAGCTATCTGCTCTAGAGCCTTCCAGAGCTCACTTGGAGTGGAGAAGGCTCTGGGTGTCTGTGAAGTTGCCTAACAAAAAACAAACCAGTTTCTCACCTGAGATGAATGGGAAAGGAGGCAAGGAAGAGTGAGACCAAGTCTCCTGGACATGAGTGTCAGCCTGACAGTCCCCTACAGCAGCATGCTAAGGGTTAGGCTAAGGAGGAGCAAACCCAAGTCCAAATAGGGCTTCTTCTTCCAGTAACCGTATCATCATTTGATCTAAAACTGTTTTGAAATTAAAAAAAAAAAAATGCTGTTTTCACACTGGCTTGTACTCATACTCTCAGGAAGGCATCTAAAATTATGAATTAGTAAATTGGTGTTTGGGAAAACACACTGGTGCTCAGTTCTAAAGTTTCCTGTCTCGACATGTGAGCATGTGTGTGTCACACAAACAGAACTGACAGAAAGTGACGTGCCAAGGAAAATCTACCATACAATAGCTTCAAAATGACCACAGGAAAAAGAGCTGAAAGGCAAAAGACAAAAACAATAGTGCACATTTGACAGGACTGAAGAGAGGAAACTCAGACAACTTTCCATTTCCTAAAAATGAAGAACAGCTTGCTTTAGTCATGTTCCTGGTTGTAAAGGGCCAGGAATCCTCCATAGATAGACTCTGACCTGACCTGTTTGCGATTTTCTTAAACACAGAGCAGACTGTATAAATAGATCAAAGATTTTCACAGATCACAAAGATCTCTAATCTACATCTAGTCCAAACAATGGTCGTATTAAAGAGGTTCACCACAACCATTCCAGGTGCACCCCTCCTCTGGCAGCCCAGTCTTCCTTTGGAGAACCACACCATGCTTTACAATGGCAGAGACAACAGGTCCACTTGAGAGAGGTGACCTAGCATCCTAGCACCGAGAATGATACTCAGAATAAACTTTTTAAATTATTATCATCATCATTATAATTTATTATAATTTATTCACTATGCATCCCAGCTATAGCCCCCTCCCTTAGACCTACCCTCCCAGTCCTACCCTCCCTCCCACTTCCCTCTCTATGCCCCTCCCTTAGACCACTAATAGGGGAGGTCCTCCTCCCCTACTCCTACTTTTAAACATAAGGATATCAGAACTACAATCAAGGATTCTGGCGAGGAAAGGAGGTGACATAGAAGCCAACGGAGGAAGCTGATGAGACAGAGGGGACAGGTGGGATAGCGCACAGGGAAAGGAAACTTGATGATGAGAGTAAGAATATTGGCGGTCAGGAAAGCCAACCAGAGGTTCAAAAGAAACCAACTGAGCTGAGCTGACTAGGAGACCCCCAGGAAGGGATTACTGAAACAATGGGCTGACCCTGTGGTATGAATGATCAGCCTGGGGGAACAGCCCCTGGCTGAGCCTGAGGTCTCTCTGGCCACTGTGGCCACCAAAAATCTGCCACTCTTCTTAAGAAGTCACTCAGCTTCCCATGTGGTAAAGAGAGACTCTTTTTACAGAATTCCTGCATACAAAATTCACTCATGCTCCTACCTGAACTCAGCTGCAGGCTTTGCTTTTGACAATGGAGAACAATAACCTGTCCTAGTAAAACTGATAGATCAGCGCTGGAATCATAATGGCAGATATCTGTGTTAACTCCTTTCTGTCAACTCACTGGGCTGCACATACGAAATTCTCAAATAGTCCATTAAGAGGCTAGAGAGATAGCTCAACAATTAAGAGCATTGGCTGCTCCTCCAGAGAACCTGATTTCAACTCCCAGCACCCACATGGTACTTCACAACTGTAACTCCAGTTCCAGGGTATCCAAAACCCTCACACATATACCCATGCAGGCAAAACAACAATACACAGAACAAAATAAAAATGAATAAATCATTGAAAGAAAATTAACTCCTTAAAATTTCTGGAGACAATGAGAAACATATAAGACAAGATTATCTCTACAAATTTAACATACACCACTCAAAACCTGAACTGAATATTTTCAAAGAAAATTGAACAAAATTACTCAAAAGTTCATTTGAAAGAATAAATAAGAATAAAGATTTGGAGAGGGACTACTATTTGAGTGAGGATATGGACAAGCCCTGGCCATACCAAAGCAAAATAAAGAATAAAACCAGGGTCTTGTAAACAGTGTGACAATGGCAGCGGGACAGAACCCAAAGTAAAGACTAGAGACAGACACACAGACATATGGAAACTGCATAATAAAAGATGGTGGTGTCTCAAACCAGTGGGGAAAAAATGGCCTCAGCTTCTTCAAGGGCTCATGTACTAATTTGCATGTTTTAAGGACTTTTTTCCTATATTAGCCTAATTACTGGCCTTTCTCACACTGATGTTCCCTTAATTTTCATCCACCATGCAAGGCTCCTGCGTACAGTTGCACTCTGTCAATGACAATGTTATTTGCTAGGCAAGCTTTACTTGCTTTACTATTTACTTGCTTTACTATTTAGTTTCTGAACTACCTAATACGCTTGGACAATAAGCAAAGTATTTTCAAATCAGATAATGACTAGAACGGTACGTCTGTTTATGATGGGGTTCTGTAATCTAGGGACATGGAAAGAATTTATAAGTGGATTTTAGGCAGTCTTGACACATGCAAAAAATCATTAACAAGACTGTTTCTGTGTTTTCTGGGAGAAGAAGGGTTATTATACCCATCATTATTATTTCAAAGGCCCAAATATTTTAAAAGGCTTATGGGTGCTAGCTCTTACAAGAACAGGCAAAATGCAAATTCAACACATTTTATGGCTTAATGGTAATTGTTAACTCTTTATAAGATGATCAAAACATGTTCTGCTGTTTTCCAAAACATTCAAATTCTATACACAGAGAGGGCATGAGAGAAGTGAATGTGGGCTGAGGCATTAATTTAGTTATGAATGTTTACTACGACGTGCCGTCAACCCGTCACTCTATTACTAGCACTGCAGTGAACTACCAAACTTTGGGGTTTTTTACACTTGGAATATTTTATCATAATAACTTGTACAAGCCTTCCCTACAAAGTCAAGTCTTGGAAAAGTTACAGAACAACAACAGAAACCCAGGATAATGTTCCCATTTTATAGGAAAGTTAAAACGCACCACCAGGTGCCAACTAGCTCAGGACTCCAGGTTCAGAAACACAACATTGTGTGTCTGGATTTATGTTTCACCTCCAAGTCGGTTCCCTTTCTCACAATTCATCACATGCATTGTCTTCGTGTGATGCTAAAGAACGTGACAAAGGCAAAAAGTATTTCACTTCAAATTCTCTGTGTAACAAAAGAGTTTCCTCAAAGCACGGGGCACTGGGGTGACAGCTCTTGAACAACTGTGAGGACCTGAGCTTCATGCCAAGAACCCACATTAAAACAAACAACAGCAGCAGCACAGTGGTGTGATCCCAGGGCTCAGGGAGTAAACACAGACGGAGCCCTGGAGCTCACTGTCCAGTCAGCCTAGCTTACTTGGCAAGCTCCAAGCCAGTGAGAGAGCCCACTCCAAACTTCAAGGCTAACAGCATCCCGAGGAAAGACACCCTGTGTTGATTTCTGGCCTCCATGCACACCCTCGTGAACACACACCCATACACATGCACAAACAGGCACACACACGCACACACATTTTCTCACTTTATTCTACACTAATACCTGTGAGGTACTGTTATGATCCTCATTTCTCAAGGAGAACAGTGAAAAGATCACATCTAGTGATCAACCTGGACCTTCTCCTGCCAGGCCCAGCACCCTTTTCTCTTTATCACTTTACTGCACAATCAGCAAATACCCAGCTCCTTAGTAACATACATACCATTTTCCATCTAATTCACTTGATAAAGGGTTTCTACAGCTTTTATCTTAAATCTACAGCTAATTCAACCATTTAATTTAGACACTTAGGACATGGCTTCTCCTCCAGAAATCCATGAGTGGAGGATGGCATTCCTTAATCTACTCGAAGACACGTGTGACTGAGACATTCATATAAGGATAATTCTCTCCGTTAGTCAGAGACTAGGTACATATGACCCAAACAAGTTAAGAGCCACTGGAAAAAAAGCATGTTTAAAGGCATTTTATTTTTTATAGTGTAAAATAGCAGGACTATTTAAATGTAACACCCAATAAAGTTAATGTCAACACAAACTGGCTAAAAAAGAGAA